TGTGGTGTGTGTGTGTGTGTGTGTGTGTGTGTGTGTGTGTGTTCTTGCAGCAAGACACACGCCTGTCTGCTGCCCCCTTCAGATCAAGAAGCTAACAGCTCTTTCTTCAGGGTCCTGGGTGCAGATGAGGGCGTGGTTTGGATCCTGGTGGTGAAGTTCCAGACAGGTGGACAAGGGAGACAAGAGAGAAGAAGGAAGACCTTCTTTTTTGGGGAACACCTGCCCCTCTTTTTGCTCTGCAGCTTCTAATTTGGGGGTGGGGGCTTCATTAGTCAGACACATCGCCAATGCACGTAAAATGCAAAACCTGGGACCATCCTGAGACACAGACTGGATTTCTCCTCAACTCATCCCAGCTCAGGGGCTGATGCTCTGTCTTATTCCACAGCCCAGGCTGGGGCGGGGGGAGGGCTCGGCCTGCCCCTCACTGCCTCGCCCCACCGCCACATCTTTGGGGCTCTGATTGGGCTTTTCCCCAACTGACTGGTGGCAGCTGATGAGTCTGAGACAGCTGGCACGCATCTGTAAGTTGGCAGCAGATCTGCCCAGTAACTTGTGAAACTGCCAGCTATCACTCTTCCTCTGCACAAACCGGGGGCCTGACAGGGACGGCTGCGAATGCCAACCCACTTAACTGGCAGCCACTTACTTGCATTTATCCTCCAGGGCGTGCATAGTCCAGATTGTGATGAGGGCCAGGAGAAAGAGGAGCACCCTCCTCATCCTCTTTGTGAGTCCCTCCCGCAGGTCTCTCGTGCCTGACATCACAAAGCATGTGCTGTATGACATCAGGCAGAGCCACCTGCGGTTCTCAGCATTCTCTGTGGAATGTGGGAGTGGAGGAGCCAACAAGCTGCACGGAGACCGTCAAGCCTGGGCAGACCAGCCCCTGAACAGGAGGAGCTACGGCGAAGCGGAAGGGAGGCTTTCAGCCTCCGTTCCCCACACTTCAGGGCAAGGCCGAGGAAAAGGGCCCAGGGAGCTGCTGTTGTGTCTATAAAGATCTATTCCCCATGACCCTTCTAAGGCCTGCACATCGCTTGGTCAGCTCCCTCCTCAGGGGAGGAACTGGAATGCCCAATTCATGTCATCAGCATCCCTGCCACGTGGCTGCAGAATCCTCACAGATGTCTGGTGCAGGGCATCTTTCCCCATCGGGTGCCACCTGGTTCTGCTTGACTGCAGTTCCCGTCATCCCCAGCCAGGATAGCCACTGGCATATTTCTGGCGTGAGTCGTAGTCCAACATCTCTGGAATGGCAGACTTATTATTTCTCCACACTGAACCTCTTTGAGAACAGCTAACCAAACCTCCGCCCATCTCCGTGGATGATCCTTCCCAGGGAACATACTCTGGGGTTGTAGCTGGCTCCCTCAGTCTAGGCAGCCATAAAACATGGTGCAGTTCAATCCTGGGGAAGGGCAGCAAGCAGTTCAGCCCCTGAAGGGTAGCTCCAGGAAAAATCTCCTGCCCAGGTGACTTCTGTTCATAGGTCTTTGGGTTAGTCCCAGAGAAACTGGCACAGAGAAGAGAAGGTATATTTGGGAGCAAGCAGACGAGGAGGGCTCCCAGCAGGAGAGCCTCTGTCAAGCGTGGTAGGCCTGCATGAGGTTTTGCTTCAAAGAGGTGAGGGCAACACTATTCACCATGGTGAGGCTCAAAGGAGGTGCTTTCAAATGTTTATGTGATACTCCCCAAAAGGAGGAAGAACCAACAGATGTTTCTCCTCCTGTTCCATCTACTGGGCAGCTGGAAAGACCTGGTGCAAAAACAAGGCCGTCGTCCTTCACTCTTCAGAGGTGACAGATGGGTTAGCAGGGCACTTCCCATGAAGCAGTGTTGACATGGGCAGCCCTTCAATATTTTGCTCAGTGCACAGTCCTCTCATGGTGAAGAAGACGGAGGTACAGTTGTAGAGTTGAAGTCCACACATCTTAAAGCCGCCAAGGTTGAGAAGCGCTGGTTTAGCCTACAGAAAAGCCTGAGGGGAGACGTGATAGCAGTCTCCCAGTCCTTGAAGGGCTGCCCTGGGGCAGGGAGTAGGGCATTATTCTCCAGAGCTCCTGAGGGTAGAATAAGAACCAGGGGGTGGAAGCTTTGCAAGAGAGAGATCCAAACTCAAAATAAGGAGGAATGTCCTGACCATGATTGCTATGAAGCAGTGGAACAGCCTGTTTCTGGAGTCATGGAGGCTCCATCACTGGAAGATTTTAAGCAAAGGTTGGGCAGCCATTTGTCCAGCGTGGATTGAGGATTCCTGCCCTAGGCAGGGGGTTGGACTGGAAGATCTCCATGTTCCCTTCCAAATCCATGATTCTATGATTTAAATATACTTCACCCCCAAGGTTGTTTAGGATAGATCGTGGAGAAGAAAAGATCCCCCTTCATTAGTCTGTACAACAAAAGTTGGGAGGAGTCTGGGAGCACCTTTTCTGACTAACCATTTTTATTAAAAAGTATTAGCTTCTGTGAGCTTAATAAAATTTATTAGTTGGAAAGGCTGCTACCTTTTTGGCTACCACAGACTAACACAGCTCCCCTCCTACAATGTCTAAAGCAAAAGCAGAAAGTAGCCAGAAACAGAATCCATCCTATGGATGAAAAAAATAGAGGCTTGGTCTCCCGTATTTTCTAACTTCTTCATGCACGATCTGGAATTAAGACACAGACAATGAGCGAAGGAAGTTTGCTAGCAAACGGGAAAAAGGGACAACAAAGGTCTTAAAACCATCTTGTCAAATGGGCCCTTATAATGTCAAAAGTAAGCATGCTGGGAAAGGAAACTAACTTCACTTGCACATTGGTGGACCTAAGCTGGTGGAGAAGGTCACCAGGACCTTCAGGCTGTGGTGCATGTCTTGAAAACATCGCCCCAGTGAAAGCAGCTATAAAAAAGCTGTCTCCACACAAGGAACACTAGGGAAGAAAGTAGAATAAAATACGCCAATATCATAATGCCTTTATAAAAATGAATGGTAGCCACACTCTAAATATTGTGTACAGTTCTACTTGACAACTCAGAGCTGGTGGTGCTGCTTAGCTGACATTGGCTAATCTTGGAAAGTTAAGTAGGCTCAGATATGAACAGAATTTGGTTGGAAGTCGCCAAAAAATCTCAGGAAAGTCACTAGCGAACCATTTCTCAGTTACTGCCAAGGAAGCCGTCCAGCACCACCGGTAATTGCGCTCCACTCAAGAAAATCTTTATCTTTTCCAGGTGGTGAAACTCAGGACGGATACAGCGGAAAGCGAAGAGAAAGGTGATCAAAATGTTACTTTGCTGAAGAGTTTTAAGCTCTTCAAAATGGAAGGAGGGGTATGGTTGTGGGCCTGTGTCTCTACAAAGCCCTTCGTGAATTCTTATTGCTTCTGAGAAACGCTTTGAAGCGAAGCCAGGCCCACGTGGCTCCAGAAATGCTCCAGGGCAGGTGGCTGGAGAGCCTGTCTGCATCCTGAAAGACTCCTGAGCACCTGGGTGGAAAACGGGGTGCTATGGGGCACTTTCGGCTGCCTAAGCAGAGGAGAGGCCCAGCAGTGGGCAGAGGGGATTCTGGTGAAGGGCACTCTTTTAGTACATGGTTTTGTACTGTTTCACATAAGGTATAACATCCATTTAATAGTGTATTCTACCTCACATTATGTTTAAAACATAATATCTTGCCTTTTAAAGAGCACAGCATTCCCCCACCCCATTTTCCTTTGGTTTTCTTTCGCCCTGAGGCAGCCAGCTGATTAGATGCCTGACTGTCTTTGAATAAACAAACCATAAATTAGCTTAGTACCAGGCAGAGAAGTTGCCAAGAGAGAGACCCTGAATTTCAAAGAGGAACAAAGAGATAAGAAAGGACCGACATGGGGTGTTTCCTTGGTAACAAGAAGAAGAAAGATGAACCCATTCTCACCTCCTTAGGACCCACCTTTACTCCCCCCCAGACCATCCCAAAAATCCCTTGTATGGGCAGGAGAGGATGCACTATCTGATTTGAATTTTTTAAAACCTGTACCTTTCTATAAAACCTCTGAAGTTTGCTTTGCAAGCTGTGGTTTTTTTCAGCATTTCTTGCCACGATGTCGATTGGGCCACCCAGATGCATATTGATCAATAAATCTCTGTAAATTGTTACAGAAGTCTCGTCTCAAGTTTTTGTTTGGCTCTCTGAAACTTGGGTAGCAT